TTTTATGGAAAATTAACTGCAAGCCAATCACGTTCCAAGATTTGCGGAAAAAATGGGGAGGTCGCTGTATGAGTTGAGTCGCTTATTGTTGCTAGTCCATCCATCGAATAATTGTTTATGCCCGCAAATGCACCACACAGGACTACATCGGAGTATTCCACATGCAGAGCAGAATCCATAGAGATAATAGTAATAGTAAAAAGATCTATAAGCAACCATGTAATAGTTATCGTCATATTTAGTAAAACCCCATATGAGTTTGTTGCGAGAGGAAAGCCATGTTGCATATCGTCTAAATTGACTGACATTATTATTGTATTTATGCGTTGGAAGTGAGTACATTCTAGCAAACTCACTCACAAATGCTGGTGTACAGTTGCTACTTCCAAGGAATACCAGTATTATAATGTTAAAAATGTTATTACTATTTTGAACAGCTTTGTATACGTTGTCAATTTGAGTTGGCTCTATCTCGGTAATTCGCGAGCGAAGAATCCATTCAAGTTTATGTTCACTTTCCAAGGAGGATTGAATAAGGTTGTCAATTGCTGGATTACCTGATGCTAACGACATAGTTGAATTAAAAAAATTTTTCGAGTTGAAGTGTGCAAATATCGTATTCAACACTTGTGTTACGTTGCACATCCTACAGTTGTAAATTTACGTACGACACTTTCACTCTTTGATTTATTTTTTCCTGAGCCAAGGATAAGAGGTGCTTTTATAATCTAAATACCTTTTCTCTTCTTTAATGTTGGGGTGGTCGTTCGCTTCCTGTGGCGTTTTAACTAACATATATGACATTCACTTAAAGGTTAAAAAGTATACAGATATGAATGTAGCAAGCGTATCGGGATAGAATGATGTCCGATGCAGAGATAATCGGGTTTGCGCGAAATGATGGTCTTGAGCCAGAATCATTAATGTATATGACTAGGCGGGAAAGGTTGATAAGTGAAGAGATATATCTCCGTGAATGGGAGGATGAGGGTACACTACGATCATATGTCTATAACGACGAAGAATGGGTAAAAAATATAGCGATACTCCAAGAGAATGGTTATTTATGGTAAGATACATTTTCTGTGGTACCACTCACGTGCATTATAACAGAGCACTCTGCAAAGTAGATGATAATTTGATAAAGGGGGATTTTTTGTCCTTTATACTAGTCACACATAAATCGAATAACAATTAATAATACAACCAAGAGGCAACTAATGAATAATTGTTTTCGAATTGAAAGAATATTTTGCATAGAATATAACCTAGCAAAGTGGACATAACCTAATAAAGTAAATATAACCAAATGTCAGCTATTGCAACAAGAATCGTTGGAAAATACAATCTTAACCCAGGAATGAGTGCATCTGATCTTAGTAAATATACTTCTGAATTGCTCAAAGAGCTTGCAGATGACAGAAAGCGAAATCAAGCACGAAGACGCCTTCGAGATGGTTTCAAATTCAGCGATGAAAAGATAAGCATATTGATTCCTACCCAAAAAGGTTGCAGGCGAAAAGTCGTAAATCTCATAACTCTGGACAAGGCCCCGATGAAGTCGGACTCGCAGAGCGAGGACACTTACGTGCCAGAAACCATCAAAGAGTTAGCACAACAAATTTTACAAGACAAACTTAGTGAAAAGGATGTGAAGTCTGAATTACAAAAGTTGGCTGCGTCAGCATTGAATGAAAATGCTGGGTCTTCTAGGCTCTCTCGGCTTCGACGAGAATTACGAAACCTTAATGCTCCCTATAATATAGTTGAAGTGACAAAATTTTCTGAGATTACCGAGAAAGCTAACGAAATTCAAAAAAATCGTCGAAAAATTGCCGAAGATTTCGAAAAAATCAATTATCCGGATCATTTTACATTAGAATCTGTTAAGGAAAGGTTGGATAGATACGATATTAAGACATTGCCTGATTTGCAAGCTCTTGCTGATGTTATGATAATGCTTTGTATGCGTCCCGCTGAAGTTACTACTTTACGCATTACAGATGCCGGCGTAACGGGTTATGCAAAGAACAGGGGGTCAGCCAGACGATTTACGAGTATTTAGGTCTCTAGAAAAAAATCAAAAACGTGCCAAAGCGTTACTGACCTGGATACAGAATGCTATATTATCTGGGAAACTCGAGAATCCAGGTAAACCAGGAGCTAAACAGCTTAATAAATATTTAAAATCGTATGGACTTATTCCGCGTTATTTGCGTAAAATGGGCGCAGTATATGCCATAGTAGCGCATGATGCCAAAAATCTAGCTCACGCTATGACGATAGCTCAAGAAGCATTAAGACATTCTCCAGATAATAACATATCTCCGACGCAAAACTATGTTGTCGTAAATTACAGGCCAAGAGGAGTAAGGTAACGCCATTTTAATTTAGTGGTAGACCTGATGCAGTAGCGGAAGTATAATCGCTAATCATTTTTCTGTGGTACCACCGACAATTTTGTTATACGGATTCTACCTTATTTTTTATATTGTGTCACAGCCGTACGGCCACAAATCAGAGATCAGCATGGAAGTTCAATGGAACATGCATAGCCAGCGATAGAAAGATAGTTCATTGGTCAAGATTGATAATGCGTCATTCTATATCGGGATAATCGTTACATAATATTTCAGAATGTGTGATCTATTTCGGGTTGTACTACAAGCATATGATTAACATTAATTTTCCGATGTAATTATATGGGGTGTGTCCGAAAACAATAAAAAGACGCAAAACTTCATTTGTCCGAAAAAAATCAACATATAACTTTTGTCCCAATACAAGATTACAACACATGGAAACATCGACATAATATATAATATTCTCAGCTCAAATTCTTTATTAGCAACAAATGAACTTCTGGTAGTGATAAATTGATCAACACGCGTGATACATTCGCATTGGTCCAATGTCTCATGTGAAATACACGCATGCATGGCTTGCAGATCGGTTTGTCTTAACGGGGTTTATGGCCCGTATTTCATTCATTGGTTGCGACGACGGATACTTTTTGCAGGTCACCTCGCCACCTACACTTTTACTTAAACATCTCCGCATATCCTCTACTACTCTATTACCACGTCCAACAACACCGAGCGCAACTGGCAAACAATTTGTATTTTGGTCAGAGCAGTGATAAAGATTAAGTTATTTATTTGTTTAAAATTTTTTAATTTTTCAAAGTGTTGCTTATCTTCGGAGCCCATGTAAAGCAAGTGTTGCTTATTTAGTAATATGGTATGTTTATGAATTCTGTATTACGAGAGACGTTTATAGTAGTGGATAATTTTCGATACTGAGCTACCACCTAACAAAGTCATGGCATCGGCAACCTCGATAGTCACATGTCCGCATTTTTTTTTGTTAGGTAATAGAACGTCTGAAAAAGAAATAAGTACAGTATCGAAATAATCCGCCATTTTGTACGATCGTTGGATTTGATTACACAAACGTCGTAGTTTAAATTCAGTGAGTATGTCAACGTTCGAAATTTATTAACGTTCTCGTAACTTTAGTTTCTGCATACAATTTCAATCAAAAATGTCACTTTATATGCAATTAATTTCTTTTTTATTTTCGTCCGTTTCTCCCATTCTCTTTATCTTTATTCTGATATATGTGATCAACTTTTATGTCTCTTACATTACTCGTGAGAACCCGCTTCCTGGTCCAATTCCTCTTCCTATTGCTGGTAATACTCTTCAAATGAAAAATTTTGCTAAATTTTGCGACGCCATGCACAAACGATATGGAGACGTCTTTGAATTTTATGATACCAATAAGCGTATTATAATGCTGAACCGGGCTGACTTAGCAGAAAAGGTTTTTTCACAGTCGGTCAAATCTAACTATTTCATCAGAGCTGCGTCAGAGAGTCAAGGATGGGAGGAATTGGGCTTCGCGACGGTGGGACTATTCGGGAGCAAAGATCGAAATGTCTGGTCGTTGAATAGAAAATTTTTGGCCCGTTCCTTAACTTCGACCAAATATACCAAAGAAACTGTTCATGTAGTACAGACATTATTTTCAGAAGCAGAAGAATATTGGAAGGAACTTGGGGATAGCGCTTCTCTAGAATTAACCGGATGGATTTCTTGTATCATTGCAGATACGCTAGTACGAATCGTTACTGGTCAACAAACTTACGCTCTCTCTACACATCTCAACTCTCTCCTTCCTCCGCATCTCAAAAAACCTCTTCCTCAATCATCCATCCAATCGTATTCTAAATTCCTGTCTCACATTCGATCCATTGGTCCTATCATCCAATATTTTTACTTTGTTCCACCGTTCTTTAGACACTATGTCCCCGGCTTTAGACATATTGCAGAACGTATGAAGAGAAGAGTTGGTTGGCTTACAGAGGAAATGAAAAACTTAGTTAGTGAAAGAAAAAAAGAGATTGAAAGCATAAGCGAAAAGGAAGAGTTGAAAATCGATTTGTTATCTTTGATGCTGACCATAAATACCGAAAAAGATACGAATAAAATCAAGTCAAATGAGATTGAAAGACCATTAACTGAAGAAGAAATGGCTCAACTACTTATTGAAGTGTTTTCGGCTGGGATTGATACAGTAAGTACATGATATCCGATCGGCTCAGGGCAAGTTATTCTTCACGTTTTTAGAAATGCTATATCTGTTCTCACTTGGAAATCGTTCGCTTCTTGTACTAGACAACGCACGCCCTCTGCTTTACGATTTATTACATTTGTAAATACCCAGCCGTCAAAGCTCGCCTGGTTTCCGAAATCGATGCTACGCTTTCCTCCAAAAGCCACAACCTTTCTTATGATTCTATTGTCAACCTCTTCCCATACACCAGTGCAGTGATAAAAGAGGCCGCTCGTGTACTTACTGTAGCTCCAATAGTAATTCATGTAGCCTCTGAAGACGATGAAATTGCTGGGTACAAGTGGCGGGCCGGCACGCCGATTGGCGTAAACTATGAAGCCATCCATAAGCACACAGCGTATTGGAAAGATCCCGAAGCGTTTAGGCCTGAGCGGTTTTTGGATGAGTCTGCAGATGAAATAAAGCCAAGAACGTTTCTACCTTTTGGTGGGACGGTGAGGGTGTGTCCAGGCAAAATTGTGGCCGAAAAAGTCATCAAGACTTTTCTGATCTTGTTGTTTTGGAAGTTTGAAGTTGAGTTGTGTGAACCAGATAAAGATATTAAGTATACATATGCAATGACTAAGCAATGTACGGAACTGAAGGTTTATTTGAAAGCTAGAAACATAAAAGAATAAATAAAAGCTGTTGTGTAGTTTTAATATAAATACATACTTTTCTTTCCTCGTCGCTATTAGAAGGCCAACAATGAATGGAAACGTTCTCCCGAAATAAGCATGTGTGTGCAATAGACATAATTTCATATTCCATAATATTTTCAAGATACGTTCCATAGCTCTAACTTTTCTTCCGAATACAAAAATAATAAGATGTTTACCCTAAAACGGGGTTAAAGCTAAAAATAATTAATAAAGCGAGAGACTTTTATTCACAACAGGCAGATAAGTCGGTCTTTTGTTCAGCTCGGCGTAAATATTAGTACGAGTTATATTGGCAATTTATAGCATTTTTCTCCAACAAAAAGCTGTGACTCGTTTCTAATAATATCATATCGTTTTTAAACAAACTTTAGTAGGGGAGTTTAAACTCTAATAAGTAAATACATAGTGAAACCCGGATAACGAAGGGACGGCGCAGACACTTCCTTCTTCGTTATATCGCTATACCCGGAGATTACACATATATTATGGCAATACACACTGTTATACAGTCAGTCAACTCTGTTTATACCGAACAGTTTGGCACAGCCGAATATATTTGACGACGACGTTTTAATCATCCTGCTAACGTATTTTAGCGACTGTTTTTTTTTTACCAATAATTCACTACTGTTGACTCTCCACAATGAAAAAGCCAAGCAAAATCTTTATTAGTAAGGTAAAATCAGAAGAAACCACTAAAGAGATAGCACAACGGATTTTACGAGATAAACTTAGTGAAAAGGATGTAAAGGCCGAAGTAATAAAGTTACATTAAATGAAGTTGCTGGGTCCTCTAGGCTTTTCCGGCTTCGAAAAGAATTACGAAATTTTAATGCTCTATATAATATAGTTGAAGCGACAAAAATCTTTGAGATCACAGAGAAGTCTAACAAAATTCAAATACACTCCCGTGGCAAAAGTCACCGACCACCCCCTATATTTGCAATCAAATGAGAATATTGGCACAACGAGCAATGC